TTTTTTTTTTTAAGATTTAACAAAAAGACATCTTAAATGTATACATAGATATTTCTCTCACTTTATCATTTAGCATGAATCAATGAGCCAATTATTTAATGCAATAAATTTCATTTTAAAAATAATGTGAAAAATAAATGCATTTAATTAATACATTTGAAGGCAATTCAGTAAAATAAATGCAACAAATATGACATAATCCTCCCATAAATTTAACTATTTCTTTGCACAAATGAAATGGGTTCATTAAAATGTATGTCTTTTTCTTTTTCTAACTTGATGTTGTATTCACTTATTTAAATAATTGGTTAATATATTGCAAATAATGCAATGAAAAAGTGAGTAGAATAAACAATTTCTTAATTGTTTAAACAAAATAAAAATCTTCGTAAAATGCAATTTTACATGTAGGTCAATTCATTACGTTCTTTAATTTAATATAATGATAAAATAGTCAAATAAGCTCTTTTACATAGAGCATACATTGAACATTTTATATTTATTTTACTAGAAAATAAATTCACAATCATATATTAGATTTAATGTAATTTAAAAAGGAAATATTTATTATTTAAAATAGTTTTTTTTAACAAACAATGAGGTTGTCCATCCTTCCATATTTAAAAATATTAAAGCGGCACCACGAATTTGTTAAGGAGGACGTGTTTCCTCACATGCTGCGATTATATTCATCTTTGATACTTCTTGGTAAAATAAATACAGTTAAACACATTTATATTCATATATTAAAAACTAAATATGAGATCAAAGTTGGTGTGTGCATTTCCTTGGCACAAAAGATACACGCTAATTGCTTAGCATCTTAGCAACAGGTCTTTTCTGCCTTTCCTTCTGACTGGCTCAGCTTTACGGTTCCAGGGCGACAGCGCTACCTGTTGCCTTGGCATACATTTCAAAAACACCCACGCATGTATGGACCCACTGTACATGGTCATGGTCTTGGACCCAGCAGGTGCTCCTGGTTGATATTCAACAGTAGCACCTGACTAGTTATCCTTGTGGGTCTCTCGGTCCCGCTTCCTGGCCAGGCGGGCCTGCCGCATTTCCTCCAGAGTCTTGCGGGGGTCCATGACGAAGGCCAACGCCACGCCGACCGTGCCGTCGCCGTCCTGGCGGGAGAAGCAGAGGAAGGTGGCCCACAGGAAGGCGCAGCAGCCCATGAAGGCCGTGCGCATGTGCAGAGGCAGCAGCGCGAAGTTCAGCAACTGACAACACACACCTTACAATTAGCTTCGCGTTTAGCAACACGCCGGGCACGATGGGGCATGGTTATTTTTAAATACCAACTTGCTGTCGTATCACAATAACTTAATCATCATTGTTAAAAGACATACTGTCAATTAACATTGACTCGTGTATGTTTCATTCCAAATTAACATACCGTCATTGACCAACTACGAGTGCATATTATCATGATTAATGAGCAATAAACTGTCATTTAACAACAACTTGTCTTTGTTTATTGTTATCAGTTCACACACAGACATTTAACAATATCTAGTCCATGTTTGTAATGATTATCAATAAAGCAAACTTTTTTTTTTAATTTTCCAATCATTAAATCACCACGTACTGGAATTTAACAATTTCTCATATGTTTATCACCGTTCAATATGAACACATTGAAATTCAACAACGACTAGTCCAAATGTATTATCATGATTGATTCATATAGTTATTTATAAACCACCAGTGCATGTTTCTTCTGATCATTAATCAGCAATACACTGCTCATTTGACAAGTACTAGTGTCTGGTTGACTTGAGTTGTACTGACGGCGAGCTGTCAGTCATGTTGTGTACATGCGACCTCTGCTAAGGTCATTCATAAATAGAGACACATTCTTGGCAGGCGCATTCTGGTCAATACAAATAAAAAAGGAGGGGGAGTGGGTTGTCGAATATGAAGAATGTAATATGAATAATGAATCATAACGTTTACCTGCATGAAAGGCCAGTACATGAGTCCAGTCTGGAGGAGGAAATACAAAAATAGAAATAATTTTGGATTATCAAGCACATTCGGGGAGTATCAACAAATACAATTCCGCCCTGATTTCAGATACTATGCAGAGGTGTGTGTAATCTGGGTTAACCCCACTGTCGAAGAAGTTGACTTCCCCACGCACCACCGCTCACCTTCCACGTGTTGAAGAACTTTTCCCGCCAGTCTTCAAAGATGTCTTCCTTGCCCTCAAGGAAGCTCACTCCTCAAGGACAAAAGAGAGAAAAAATATACATTTGTGGATATAGTCATGATAGACCAAATTTCATGTGGCTAAATCAAACTATATATATTCCAGGGCTGTATTTTTAATAATGAGCCAAGTTTCATTTTTTTGGTAAATTATCCCA